GGGGGGGGGGGTTGGTATCGGGAGCAGGTTGGCCCAGCTCTGCCGGTCTGTTTCTCTTTTTGTTTATCATTAATCTTGGCCACAGACCCGGACACCAGAGAGAGAGTTCCAAATGAGCAACTTTTTGAGAGACTTGGGGTGAAGCCTTTGCACGTCGTTTGTTTGGGGGTTTCATTTTAAATCAGCCCCCTGCAAGACAGGCCCCTCAGATGCAGCCATCCTCTTCGACCTGCTAGTCCCAGATCCCAGAGCTGGAATTCTTGGATTTATTGTGTATGCAAACATCTCCTCCTTAAAGGACTTCTCCCTCAATTCAGCTCTGGCCCCACCCTTTCCACTGACTTCTTAGTAATTCTTGAGAAGATACTAAGGAATTTTGTGTGTGTGTTGGAGCGGGGCGGGGGGGAGTTGTAGTTCATGTTTGAAGGCCACCCACCTAACCTCCCTCCCCACACTTTCCGCTTAGTAAATACAGGATATCCTGTCCAGGGCAAGAACCTGATGTAAGAGGCTGGATTCTGTGGGGAGAGCCCTCCCTCCCTCCTGATGTCTGGACTGGGGAGAGGTTCATGGCTGTGCCCTGTGATGGGCGAGGGGTGGGTATTAGCCTGGATAAGTGAGCCTTGTCCTGAGTCAGATCATGACGGGTCCGGACTGGTCACGACCCAGGCTGACCACACTGCACTTTCCAGCACTCATGGGCCATTTCCGAGTCTACTGGTCCTGAGGTCCTAGGGTGGGATGTTTCCATTCCCCAGACCTCATCTCAGGCCAGTGCTTGCAAGGAAAGATCCCAACCTGCATCCTCTTTGTCAATGGAGTGTGGGGACATGAAAAAGGGTGTGTGTGGGAGTCCCATCCCCTCTTCCCATGCATCCCAAGTCTCCTTAATATACAGAATTCCCATCATTCCTGGCAGAGACAAAGACAGACTCGGATTGTCCTGGAATAGCACTCACACTTCCGTCTCCATGGGCTTCAGAGAGTGAGGAGAGGCCTTCCTTTCTCCTGAGATTGCCACCTTTCCTCTGCTCTCCTCTTGACTCCAGATGCTAAGCTGGAGGGAAAGATTCTGCTTTCTTTGCCCCCTTTCCCTCCTGTAATGAGGCTCTTGTGCAGGTGGCTGAGAGAGTGGGGGAAAAATGCTTCTTCCTGGTGGATAGGGTTGTGTAGCTGTCCTTGCCCATCACCTCTCCCCCTGACTCTGGGTGAAGGTGTTTTCTGGGCCCCCAGTACTGGCTCAGGAGGTGATTGCTCCCAGCCCTAGCCGCTCAGAGATCTTTAGTGGCACTTTATCATTCTTATTATTTAATACTACGAACTGCTTCCAGACACCGGGCTAAAAATTACCAAATGATTTTTTTGCCACTTACTCATCATAACTACCCTATTTTACAGACAGGAAAACTGGGGCTCAAAAAGGTTAAATAGTTCTTATTTGCCCAAGGTCACACTGTTCAGTAAACAGCAGAGCCCATCTTTCTTTAACCAAAACATTTTGATCTCTTTAACAATACTTCATGCTGCCCTAACTGTAAGCTTGTGGCATTCAGGGATCTTACACAATAGTGAAGTATAAGATCTGTAAAGTAGAGATAAGGACAGTCTCTACCTCAAAGAGCGGGTAAGGATTAATTGAGCGTTTATATATAATAGACTTATAGCACTTAGGGGCACCTGGGTGGCTCAGTCCATTAAGTCTCCAAGTTTGGCTCAGGTCATGATCTCACGGTTCACGAGTTCGAGCCTCACATCAGGCTCTGTGCTGACAGCTCAGAGCCTGGAGCCTGCTTCATATTTTATGTCTCCCTCTCTCAGTGCCCCTCCCCCACTCACATTCGATTTCTCTCTCTAAAATAAACATTAAAAAAATTATAATAGACCTACAGCACTTATAATAGGACCTGGCCCTTAGTAAGCACTCAGTAAAGGTAAGTTAGTATTGTTTTTGATGGTATTATTGTTATTACTATTACCATGACTACTGTGACTGCTTCTATCTCTACTTCATTGCCAGGAAGAGGGCCTTGTACATAGCAGGTGATAAATCACCAATGGGTGAATGAGCAAGGGACTGAATGCTGCTCTTCTTCCATTCTTCAAGGTGGGGGACCGGGTGATGGTGTTGAGCCGGTCAGGCATGTGGCAGGAGGAGGTGACCGTGCCCTCAGCCCAGACCTTCCAGATGCCTGAGGCCATGACCTTTGAGGAAGCCGCTGCCTTGCTGGTCAATTACATCACAGCCTACATGGTCCTCTTTGACTTCGGCAACCTACGGCCTGGCCACAGCGTCTTGGTACACATGGCTGCAGGTGACAGGCCCCCTCCCTTTATGCCCCCCTCCTTACCCCACCCTGATTTCCTTCGGGCCCCTTCCCTGCAGCCTGTCTGGACGGTTGTCATGGCAACACCAGGCTGCCTCGGCCTATGGCTCCCAGAGGCCTCTGCAGTATTGTTGCCGTGGTAACATTCAGGCACCAGGTCCAGCCTGGTGTGCTATCCATAGCAACGTGCCCTCACCCGGCACCCCCTCCTTTGCCAGCTACCCTTCCCCCCAGTTCTCAATCATGGAAATTGGACATGGTTATGAGGAGAGAAAGCCTCAAAATGGGCCCAGGCAAAATGAAGGTGATGAACGGAGTCCTTGAGAGGCAAGAATGGAGAGCGGTGGCGGGGTGACTCCACATCCCCTCCTTATGAAAGTGTCTTGCTGCAGGGGGTGTGGGTATGGCCGCCGTGCAGCTGTGTCGCACAGTGGAGAATGTGACGGTGTTCGGAACGGCTTCGGCCAGCAAGCACGAGGTGCTGAAGGAGAACGGGGTCACACACCCCATCGACTACCATACGACTGACTATGTGGATGAGATCAAGAAGGTCTCCCCCAAAGGTGGGATCGGGGTATGGGTATGGGCAGGGGCAGGATGGCACAGGACAGGGATGGGACACTCCAGATCTGTGGATCCTAATGCTGCCTCTGGGCCCCCCTACTCTGTGACAGGAGTGGATATCGTCATGGACCCTCTGGGTGGGTCAGATACTGCCAAGGGCTACAACCTCCTCAAACCCATGGGCAAAGTGGTCATCTATGGTGAGTTAGTAGGCTGGGGATGGAGGGGGGAAGCAGGGTGGGTCTGAAGGGTAGGATGCAGGGGCCCAGGGACTCCAGTGCTCGAGGGAGCATCGGGTTAGGACTGGCCTGGGTGATGCATTCAGATTGCTACCTCTGGTGGGGGGGCAGCTACTCTCATTCTCTTTCACTACTGTTCCTGTGAGTCACAGTGCATTCTGTGTTCTCTCTGTGCTCCTGTTTGGGGATTTTTCCAGATGCAAAATCAATCAGCCTGCCTTCCTTTGTCCTACCTTCCTGGGTTTCTTGGTCAGGCTGCATTTTCATTTGCAAAACGATTTTACACATGGGGCACCTGGGTGGCTTAGTTGGTTAAGCATCTGACTTCGGCTCAGGTCATGATCTCACAGCTCATGAGTTCGAGCCCCACATTAGGCTCTGTGCTGACAGGTCAGAGCCCGGAGCCTGCTTCGGATTCTGTGTCTCCCTCTCTCTCTGCCCCTCCCCCGCTCACACTCTTTTTGTCTTTCTCAAAAATAGATTAAAAAAAGAAAGAAAAACTATTTCACACACACAAAATCAACAAGTGAATAAAGATTCAGGCAATTTTTGAGTCAGCTGGAGTCCATTTGGGCCTGGCAGCCAGCAGGTGGGGGATTATCCTGTCACTTCCTGGCACTGCTGTGGATGATTGTAAGAGGCCCAGAGGGGGTGGATGAGCATGGATTTGGACAGGGATGTGCCCAGCACCTGGATTCACGGGCCGCGTCTCCTCATCCCTCAGGAATGGCCAACCTGCTGACGGGCCCCAAGCGGAACCTGATGGCCCTGGCGCGCACATGGTGGAACCAGTTCAGTGTGACTGCGCTGCAGCTGCTGCCGACCAACCGCGCTGTGTGTGGCTTCCACTTGGGCTACCTGGAGGGTGAGGTGGGGCTAGTCAGTGGTGTGGTGGCCCGCCTCCTGGCTCTGTACAACCAGGGCCGCATCAAACCCCACATTGACTCCGTGTGGCCCTTTGAGAAGGTGAGTGTGATGGCTATGCAGGGAGGGCCGGAGGAGGGCCCCTGCAGGCTGGGCTCCCAGGGGTAGGATTCCTGGGAAGAGGAGGGCTGACCCCTTTAGGCTGGCTCTCTAGAGGGGCCGGATGGCACCGGGTCTTGTCTTCCTCTCCAGGTGGCGGATGCCATGAGGCAGATGCAGGAGAAGAAGAATGTGGGCAAAGTCCTCCTGGTGCCTGGACCAGAGAAGGAGAACTAGGGCCGGGGCTGGCAGACCCTCGGGACCTGGGAAGAGAGAAGCTAGGGAGCCACGTTGTGTTGGTCACCAGACTCTCTTACATTTCATCCTCCTCATAATGCTCTGCCCACTCGCCCCCGAAGGTCTCCGTGGTGATGACCTCTCCCCTGCCCTGTTCTTTCTCCTTAGGCAGGGCCCCCTCCCCCCTTCCTGCCCTCCGAAGAGGTTGGGAAGTGACCACTTGGATGTCTGGGCCCTGCCAAGGGGACAGGGAGGGTCAGAGGGAGGCCGGCTGCTTCCTGCCCCCACCCTTTCCCTGGGCCTGCTGTGCTGCTTTTGTGCCAAGGTTAGCCAGTCCTTTTCCGTCCAGTTCTGTGTGCTTCCACCTCTGCCTCATCTCCCCTCCTGCCCCTGCCCCACACTCCCCTCCCCAAAGAATCAAAATGTCAGCTCAGGATATGGGGCCAATTTGTGTGAATCCAGCATGTCCCTGTCTCGCCCTCCTGTCCCTTCAGCCCAGGCCAACTGGCGCCCACCTCTGAACTCTGTTGCCTCGTTGCATGGCCTTGTCCTCTGGTCCCCGTCTCCTTGAGCACAGCTGGGTTTCTTCCACCTCCAGGTTTTCTGCCACTCTTAACCAAGGTTGCCTCTTACAACAAGGGTGGGAATCTGACCTGCTTCCCTAGGTCACGACTCTGTGGGAGGGACACAGAGCCCCCCCCTCCTCCCCATCCTTCACTGAGTTCTAGTGGATTTGTTCTCAGTGCCTTAGCAACGGAAAACCTGTGCTTGCGTGTGTGGGTGGGTGGGGGGTCCCTGTCTCACACCTCCTCCTCCACCCCTGAACTCCCCAGTGCCTTCCTCGTTCTGGTGGAGGTGGGCTTTTGCTGTCCCACAACACTGCCAAAAATCTGTGTGTGTGCCAGTGGGGGCAGGGGGCAGCCCCTAGCCTCCTGGGGTCTGTGCCGTGTCCCGTCTCTGGGGCTGTCATTTCTCTCTGGGTGGTTGAGGAGAAAAAGGCAGGGTGGCGTTCTCAGCCTTGCAGATAAGTGTGGCATTTACCAGCCAGAGCTCTGAGAGGCAATGCCATCTGTTTCTTGTTCTGGGACCAAAGTAAAAATCGAAGCACATTTCTTGTGTAGTCAAGGGAGGCCCACTGCCTTCTCAGAGCAGGAGGGCAGCTTTTCAAACTCAGCCCCAAACTTTGTTTACATGGGTGGGGAGATGGAACAGGGGAATAAGGAGGGGGGTGGTTAGGACCTGGGCCACCGGAACCAAAGTGGGGACTTCCTGGCGCAGGGGTACAACTCCCTCTGCTCTCTGATACGGAATTAGGGAGGGTTACTGCCCAGCTATTGCCAATGGGAGGTGGGGGGAGGGGCTCAGCCTCTTCAGTGTCTAAATGAGGCCTAAATGTGTGAAGGGCGATTTCTGCTTTTGTGTACCCCACCCCGTTACTGTTACCGAAGCTGCCTTTGTGTTGTGTCAATAAAAAGCCAAACCCTGGGTCCTGGATGTTGCCTCCGAGAGTGGAGGGGAAGGTGGGCTCCTGGAAGGTGAGGGTTCCTCCTTCTGTGCTCACATCAAGTTTCCTTTCAGGAAATGAAATGAGAAGAGGGTCACGCCACTTTTATTGTTCTTGGGCAGCATTTCATAAGCCATAATCCCTGCCGCTGTTGACCAGCACGATCTCTTGCACCTGTGCGCCCAAATCCAGCCTGGTTTGAGAGGCTTGGCAGGGGTGCGGGGGAGGGGATGAGAAGGGCAGGCTCTTAGCCTGACGTGGTGGTGAAGACCGCCAGGCCCCGCTGTCCTGGGGGCACAACTGTTAGGGCCTCCACCTCCCCACCTCCACGGGAGGGCTTCTGGAAGTGGATCTCCAGGATGTCCTGAAGCTCTGGGCCATCCAGGACGTCAGGAATGTTGAGCACCAGCACTGACTGGGGCACTGGCCGGAACACGATCTGGAAAAGGAGCCAGGAGATGGGCCTGGTTCATGAGAGTCAGGGACTGGAGGTAGGCAGTGCCCCTGGGGGTCTGGGAAGGGCCGGGAGGCCTGAGAGGCTGACTGGCAATGGGGAGGGCAGTGGAGTCTGGGGACTCTGATCCTTTCTTGGGCAAGTTTCTGCCAGGCAGACAGGTTCCTGGCCCAGCCACCAATTCACCTTCCCACTTACCTCAGCCTTCTGGATCTCCCCACTTAGGAAGGGAGAGATTCTCAAAGGGAAGCTTTTCGTGCCCAGTGGCACTGTAAACTGGCCAGCCTGGCACAGGTGCTGGGCCACTGTGGGGACAGAGAGGGATGGACCTCTAGCATCAGGGCTTTTCTCCCCCGTGGCCGGATGCATCAGCCCCAATCTTGTCGGCAAGACCCTTACCTGCATCCTTAGTGAAACTCAGCACGACACCACTTTGCAGCAGCTTCCGACTCTCCACATCGCCACCCCCATTCCTGGACTTGCCAAAGAAGATCTCCAGCTTGTCCAGCAGCTCCTCCTCACTCAGCCTGAGCCCTGCAGGAAACCCACTGACCAGCATACTCCTCCTGCTTATCTGTGTGGACACCTAGGGACAGACAGGAGGGAGAGGTACAGCCCCACTCATCCCCTGTGCCCAAGTGCATGGCACCCCCTGCATGTCCCAGGACGCTGCAGTCCTATCACCTGGATGGTCGTCACCACGGGCAGCTCCAAGGACTGGACTTGCACCCGCAGCCGGCACTCATCGATGTCGATCTTATGCTCCTTTTGTTGCAGCACCCTCTCGGCCACTGGGTCGGGGGAGCAGGGTCAGTACTGGGAAGCCTCCCAGCCTCCCTCCCAGGGCCTCTGTGAGAGCTCACCCTTGGGATCGTCGAAGGTGACCAGAGCAGAGCCTCCAGGCAGAGGGTAGCAGATCCGTAGTTTGGAAACCAAAGGCTTGGACCCTTCTGTGCCCTGCTGAGTGTGTCCTCGGAACACCAGGGGGACCAAGGGCACCGGGAATGGGACCTGGAGGTGGGGGAGGGGAGGCTGATGCAGCCTTGAAGGGTGGGAGAGGCCCCACCATCCCTAGAAGGAAAGTGTTCCATGGAATTGAGGCCGGGGATGAGCACACTTATTGAAAGGAGAGCTGGATAAAAGGGTGGATGAAGGTAGGTCAAGCCTGTAGGAGCACTTTCCACACAAGATGTTACTTTGTCCTCACAAGCCTGCAAGTTTGGTAGCTCTGCGTCACAGATGAGAAAACAGATCCAGAGATTTCAAGTGCCATACTGGAGGTCATGCAGTGAGGAAGTGGCAGAGCCAGGAGAGAAACTGGTTCTTTCTACCACACCACACCCCTCTCCCAGCTTACCTGGTCGTGGTGAGGGAAGTCCCCAAATTCCCTCCTCCGCTGCTGCAGCTGCTGCAGCCTCCTCTTTAGTCTGGCCTGCTCCTCCCGAAGGGCATGGAGAGCCTATTGGGGTGGGGGAGACGACCAGACTTCCATCTGCCTTCCCAGAGAATGAGCCCAGGGGAAAGGGACCCGATCCTGGACTCTCCCACAGCAGAGCTGATGCTCAGCTCCGGAACAGCCCAACCCCTTTCCCCTGTCCTGGGGTTGGCCCTGGCCCACTCTCCTCAGGATTTGGTTGGCCTCATCTCAGCTGGGGGAGGGGGACAAGCGGAGGAGCCCTTGCAGCAGCCACAGCTGTGTTGTTACAGGACAGCTTGCATTTAACAGACACCGAGCTCCTGCTGTGCGGTGCTGGGCACTGACACAGGGCAAGGGGGGGGGGGGGGAGAAGAGGCTAGCCCTCGGGTCTGTACAAAACACCACCCAAGACAGTGTACCCTCACATGACAGACTGTGGAGGACATCAGGAGTATGGAGGAGGGACAGTCCCATAGGGCTTAACATAACTAGGGAGGCCTCTGGGAGGAGTGGGGGCTTAGAGTGGCAAAATGTCATAGTATTCACTTTTTTTTTTTAATGTTCATTTGTTTTTGAGAGAGAGAGCTTGCATGCACTTGCATGCACACATGAACGGGGGAGGGGGAGAGAAAGACAGAGAGAGAGAGAGAGAGAGAGAATCCAAAGCAGGCTCCACACTGTCAGTGCAAAGTCTGACATGATGCTCGAGCCCACAAACTGTGAGATCATTACTGGAGCTGGAGTTGGATGCTCAACTGACTGAGCCACCCCAGGTGCCCCAGCTAATGTTTATTGAGCACTTACTATATGTCAGGCACTATGCTAAGCTTTAATTAAAAAAATTTTTTTTGAGAGCACGCAGGAGTGGGAAGAGAGACAGAAATCTCAAGCAGGCCTCATGCTCAGCATAGAGCCCAATGTGGGGCTCGATCCTATGACCCTGGGATCATAACCTGAGTCGAAATCAAGAGTCAGATGCTCAACCAATTGAGCCATGCAGGCACCCTGTGCTAAGCGTTTTATGGCTTTTATATGGCTTGAAACATAACCTTGAAACAACCTTGTGAAATAAGTTCCCTCTTATCCTTGAAACAACCTGTGAAATAAGTTCCCTCTTATCCTTATTTTATAGATGAGGAAACTGAAGCTCAGAGAGGTTAAGTGACTTGCTTGAAGTCATTCAGCCCTATGCAGTCTGACTCCAGACTGCTAATCTGTGCTTTACAGTGAAGAAATCAAGCCCAGAGTGGGGGAACAATTTACCCCACATCTCCTAGCTTGTCCCTTGACTGCCATTCTTTCCACTGCAGCAAGCAGCCTTTCAGGCTGGGTGTGATTTGGAGCAAGTCCAGAGACAGAGAGTGACAACATGGGCAGGGGAATGACACCAGGGATACGAATAAATGCACCTTTGTTTGTGGGATGAAGTAGATGTTAGCTGGCAGAGTTCACTCTGTGGTTGGGAAGCCTGATAAATAAGGTCAGCTCAGAGAAGTGTGAGCTCACTGGGGAAGGCGGGACTCTGTCCTAGTCATCTCTGTATCCCCAGTGTTCAGCAGAGTTCCTGGCACAAAACAGGCATTCAGTAAATGTGTGTTGAATGAATGAATGAATGAATGAAGTGAATTAATGACAGAATGGGAATATATTACAGAGGGCATTGAATTATTCAGTGTGAGTTCACTCTATTTTAAACAGACAAAAACTACGGCTTGACCAAATAATGCTGGTTTATGAGTAGTGAGAAAGGTACCTAGTTCTTTATATGCCTACAAACAAGGTGTCTTTAAGGGCCAGTTAGATGACATCAGTGAGTCCAGGGAGCCAGTGTAGACCATAGGGAGTGCTAGGGACTCACGAACTGGAGAGAGCATGTCCCTGCTAAAGTGGCAACTTCTTCTCAGCTCCAACCAAGATTTTCTTTTCTTTTCTAAGTTATTTATTTATTTTGAGAGCAAGAGCATGTGCAGGAAGGGGGAAGGGCAGAGAGAAAGAGAGAGAGAAAATCCGAAGCAGGCTCTGCAAAAGCAGTGTGGAGCCCAATGTGGGGCTCAAACCCACAAACCATGAGATCATGACCTGAGCTGAAACCAAGAGTCAGACACTTAACCAACTGAACCACCCAGGCACCCCATCCAACCAAATTTTTCTCACATGGGAATGTGGTTCCTGTATCCCATTTCTTCTTTTTCTTTCTTTT